CATGCATATGTAAATATTTTCTTACTCCTGGTGTAATTAAATCATTGAACTGGACTCTCACCTTTCTCTGAGCTGCCTCCAGCCTGTATTTCATCCTTCATCTTCTTCACCTCCTCTGCAGTCAGGTCTCCACTTTTAAGGACCACGACCTGAGGCAACTCGTCCTCTCGATCGCTGCCGCTGTCGTCATCCAGTGTTGGCATCACCTGACGCTAGGATAGCAAACAGACCGTTAGCCTGTGTGAGAAGTGTTTTAAAATCCTGCATTGACTGTGAGTGACGTTGCCGAGGTTTCTTATTTCAGTGATAATCACTTCATCAGCAGCCCGACACTCAAACTAAAATCAGGAACCTGTACTTCAGAGTCATGATTCAAGTCCTGGTGGGGTTTTTTTAATACAACTTCATAAAACAAAACAAAAAACAAACCCATTCATGAAAAGCCGTGGCTTTCTGTTGTAGAATGTAAATACATAAATTCAGTTGTAGAACGCCTGCGCAGTCACAGCTGAACGCTGCAGCGCAGTTCGAAGCTGCTCTGACGGTCCGGAGGAACAGCTGTAGCTCGTGCGGCCTCACTGCTCAATTCAGTGAATGGGACCCTCCGTTGAATTATGATTCAGAGCATTTATTCTTCCTTATATGAACACCATGCGCCTGCGCTCAGAAACAAACGTCGCAAAGTGTAGCTGTCACACAACTGAAAGAGATAATGGTTTGGTAGGCCCGGGGCAGCTAACTGGCACGGCTAACCCAACCGCGTAGTTACCTTAGTGTCGACATTCGGTCCCTCTTTGTACCCCACATCGCTCTTAAACTTCTTGAGAAAGGACGGCTCCGCCGGCTTCACCCATGCTACTCCGCGGCCCTTATTTTTATTCATGGCAAAGAAGCAAAACAAGACAAGCAGCCAACGAATGCAGACTGCAGACTCGAGCAACTTCCGGCTAGCACGGACTCGTCAAAACATAGAAACCGTCACTAAAACGCGCCGCGTCACGTGACTTCAGGAGCTACTGTCATTGGTGGATTTGGGAACGTTGATGCCATAGCGCTGCTTGGTGCTACATTGGATCTGCACAAGGGACGATAAGCTGTCGCTCACTCACAGAAATGATGATTCAAAGCGAAATATCGCAGAAAAACTAAACCGAT